CCCCCGCCTTCCTTGCCAGGACAATGGCGTGGCGGCGCTGCGCGGAGTGGAGCGGTTCCCGAGGCCCGGGTGGGAGACTGCGCCGGCCCCCGCCCCTTGAGATTCCAGGCGCCCCACCCCATGCAGGAGTCCGGGCCATGGGCTCCATCGCTGTGGATTTCGAGTTTTCCCTTGGGACTTTCACTCCTAGTTCTGCCCCTTCCGACTCCAGACACCTACAGTCAGCTTTGTTCTCTACCTGGGATGACAGCAGCATCGAAAACTCCCCACCCAATCAGTTCTTGTCTAGAGAGCTCAGAAATACAACCTTGGAAAAGTCCCTAATCAAGAGTACAGCGGTTGAGACCGGGACCCCTCCTCTCTCAGATCCAAGATTCTGGGCCCCAGCCCCTTTTTTAAAAGCAGAGACCAAGCGCCCAGCCCTGTCTCCCTCAGACCCAGTTCAGTCTTCCTGCCTTGTTTCCCAAGGTTACCAGGTGTCCAGACCTTAAACTCCTCGCTTAAGGGTCCATGAACCAAAGCTCCAGGCTCTTTCTAGCAGGATGATTTGAGGCAGGTCCCCAGTGATGTATCCACTAAGGACCCAGCACCTTAGGACAAGAGTCTGGACTCTCATCCTTGCTCTAAGGGCGAGGAGAGCTCCATTTTCCCACCCCTAGCCTTCCCTCTGGGCTCACTGTATGGAATTCTGTCTTCCCCAGGTGGACTGGGGTGGTGTGTCACATGTGTGTTTGTGAGTACACACCCACATGTACATCTATGTGTGTTTCAGTTTGCAACTCTGTGCATCTGTGCGTGTGTGTTTGTGTAGATGTAAATTAAAAGAGTGCTAAACAAGTACCAAGGGACTGAGAGGTGGCTCTGTTTCATTCCTATTGTCACCTCATGGGCTGGGGTAGAGGAAGGCCGTTGAGACAGGTTCATGGATCCCTTCCTTAATGGAGTGTAATGATGGGAGAATCCCTGAGAATTACCCCGAAGATACATTTGCCTGTTTGACCTTTTTTTTTTATTAAACATAAATATTCTTATCCCCAGATTCACCCTGAAAGTAATAGTTCTCACCTTAATCCCCACTCCTTGGGTTTAATTCTTTCTGAGCCTTTAAAGGATGGGAGGAATTAAGGTGGTGGCCATCTTGGGTTCTCAGGAAGTGAATGGCCACCTTGGCTGCACTTCATCGACCAAGGAAGTGTCCCTCAGGAAGAGCCAGGACGGGGTGGGACCTGGCCGCCCTTCGGCTTGACCTGTCCTGTTACCCTTCTTTTCAATGCACGTGATCATCTTGCAAATATCTTCCATTCCTGCCCCTAACTCCTGTCACCCCTGTCCCCACCCCTCTGCAGAGGGCCTATCTGCCATCTTGACCCTCTTTTACACAGGGGAATCATGAGCACAGTGGCCATCCTGGGCATCCTTTTTAGCTGGGCTGACTAGGGTAATGATCCTGGCCATTGTAATGATCTTCCCCTCCCAAGGTTCCATGTGGGAGGTGTAAGGTCGCCAACTTGTTCTGGTTCCTCAGGAATCAGGACAACTCCTTATGGCAAGTCGATGATCCCAGGACACTTCATTCGGAGAGATGTCACACATGAGTCTGGAGACGCGGATGACTGGGTGTGGGGAAGGCAGCATACGGAAAGGGAGGGGTTCCTGGGGCCAGATCTGGAGGGCCAAAGGATGTGGGCTTGATGTAGTTAGTAAAGGCTCGAGGATGGGGTGTGGTGAGGTAACCCGCCCTGGCTCTATACAGTCTGCAGGGGGGGGCCATGCCCAGGTGTGGGCTGAAGTCATAGAAGGTAGGCGTCCCCGGGGCTCCAAGCGGTGAGGGGGGTGGCAGGAAGAGGCCCCCTCCAGGGGCTTCACCAAGGCTCAGGCTCACACTGACTCCTCGGACCTTGTAGTAACCATTGGTTGGATCCTGAGAGGACAAATGGGACTTGGTAAGGTATCAGGGTACAGGGGGGTGAAGGTCACTGATGGAGAGACACACTGAGACAGAGCCAGACCTCGAGAGAGAAAGGACAGAAACAGAGCCAAGACCCTGAGACGGACAGACGGACATATAGACTTGCAGAGAGACACAGTGAGACAGAAAACAGGGGCAAGAGATGAAGAGACAGGAGATAACAGAGACAGAGACAAAAAAGAGAGCAAGGCAGAGACAGATCTAGGCCTGCTGAGGGGCAGCAGTGTGGAAAAAGATGCAGAGGAAATGAGCAATTCATTCACCCGCCCAACAGGTTTGGAGTCTGTGCCACCGCGGGAGACATGTCCCTAGGTTAGAGCTGGATGTGTTCTCATGGAGAGTCCAGACCAAGGGAAAGTGACAAGGCAGAACCCCGAGGGGACAGGGCTGTAACCTGGCAGAGGCTGTGACCTGAGACTGGATGTGGGAACCTTTGACACGGTGTTCTGGCTAGAAGGATGGGGAAGCCCAGGTCAGAGTGGCCCTGGCTGTGATGGACAAAACACAGGCAGAATGAGCAGGCTGATGAGGGATGCCCAGGCTTCCTAAAATGACAAATGTCGAAGCTGAGACTGAAGGAATAAAGGAGAGGATTAGGTAGGTGTGCAAAGGGAGGTGAGAGTGTTCCAGGTCAAGGGAATAGCACGTGCTAGGTGCAGAGGAGACAGACAAGGGCTCTGGACTGGACTCTGGAGTCAATGAGACTGTCCTGAGATGCGACCCTAAAAGAAGGGCAGGTTTGAGATGTGAGGTCAGTGTGGGACCTGGTAGGTGAAAGGGGCCTGTGGGGATAGCCAAGGAGAGCATCCAGGAATCCTGCAACATGGCTCTAAGGAAGAAAGCCAGGGAGAGTGCACCCCGGTTGGCGGCTCAAGGTGAAGGCCTGGGTAAGATAAGTGTGTGGGTATGATCAGCAGATATGCAAATAAGGCTGTGTAGCTGGGTGAGGTGCCCAGGATGTAGGAGGAGGGGCATGGAGTCAGGCTCCACAGAATGACAGAGGAGGGGGTGGGAAGCTGGAAACAGTGACGACGAGAGCTCCTCCCTTTCAATACTCACCTTGGTCTCCAGAGCCCCTTCCTCATCCAGAACCAGGTCACCGTGGTCAGTGTGCACAATAGGGCCCTAGGGTGGGGACATAAGTGACAGGGAGTGGCTCAAGGGTCCTACTAGCCCAGTGCCAGATCCCAAGGGTCTTCAGCCTGCCAGTGGAGGCCAGACAGGAGGGACCAAGAGCACCAATGTACTAGGGTCTGGGACTCAAGACAGGAGGGCAGCAAGGATATGCTGGGTCTAGGGAATAACTGAGTCAGGGCATATTTGAACTCAGGGGACATTTGGGTCTGGGATCACTGGTAGGACTGGGCTCCTATTTGGGGACCCAGTTGGGATGGGTTATTGTTTGGCTGCAAGGGCACAGTTGGATCTGGGGACCCAGCATCCTACCCGGTCCTCACTGCTGCCTGTTTCCTCCTCTGGGCCCCTTGAGCTGGAGCCGTCGCTGCTGCCTGGGATTCGTACCAGGTTCTTGTCCTTAGAGAAAGAGGCTGGGGATCGGGCAGTGAGGGAAGAAGTAAGTGATGGAGTGGGGTCACAGTTTGTAGAGACCAATAATCAGGAAGAGAAAGAACTGGGTAGACTGGATGAGGGGACGAGGGGGTGGCTGGGAACGAATAAGAACCCTGCCCTGAGAGGGCAAGGAGTGTGACCCTAAGGGGATCTGGTTAGGGCTTGAAGGAGAAACCAGAGCCTGAAGGTGAGCCAACTCCTGTGGAAGGCTAGAGAGACAGGACTGGGGTCAGGTCCCAAGGTTGGGCGGAGTTGGTGGGCAGAGCGGGTGTAGGGCTGAGGGGTTGGAAGCTGAGGGGCAGGGACAGGGCTCAGGCACTGACCCTTGCTGTGGCGCCAGCAGCAGAGGGCCACCCCAGTGATGATCATGAGGAGAGTTGTGGCCGCAGCAGCCACTCCAGCCACAATCCGGACAGTGGGCAGCAAGTCTGCAGGGGAGAGAGGGTGTGCTGAGACCAGCTGAGGAGACTGAGGAGGAATGGGCAATGGGGCTCCGAGCTTGGGTCTGGGGTCCCTAGGTTCAAAACATCGCCAAGTTTGGAGATTCCCAAGGTTAGTAGAGTTTTAGGGGGGACTAGCAGATAGCATAGTGGTTATGTCACTGGACTTCCACGTGGCCGGCCATGGTTCAAATCTCAGACCTGGTGGCTTCAAACTCATGCTGGGTACGTGCACCTGCATGTCGAAGATCTCAGAAGGAGAATGGAGGAGAAGGGATTGCTTCATGGCCATCCCCCCTGGGGGGGGTGATTTCTTGCTTTCTCTCT